AACATTGCATTAATTAGGATGATTAATTTTTTTATTGCCAAATAATGACTAAAGAAATGTTTGATTACAATAAAATTATTATACCAAATTAAATTAAATAGTTGCGATAGTCAAAAATGAACACCTACAAAACCCCTAAAACACCGCATTGCAATGAGGGCTATCGTTTTTATACTTAACAGTTGGCACCCCTGGCAATTGACAGGACCTTACTCTACATAGGCGCCATCTTGATGAGTGCAAATGCGATAGTCCTCCTACCACTTTAGCGCTCACAAGTTGGCGCCACTGTCTTCGCTACTAGCAAGTGACAGGACCTTACTCTACAGTAGCGCTAACTGGTGAGCGCTAAAACGATAGCCCTCATTGGAGTAAACCACTAGCTGCACGCACCAAAAGTGCATTTCAGTAGCACAAATATAAAAAAAAGTCAATATGCGACAACCCTATTTCTGTTTACTGGTTAATACCAATACCCTTTACGGGCCACATGCGCTCGCGCGGAATACTAACGCAGGGTTGTGTCAATTTCACGTTCTAATCTCAAACGCCGATTGCACAATAATTTGCGCCTTAGCATTGCAAAGCGTGCATGACATTGAATTTACGCAGATTTTACTGCCGGACCACAATCACATACGTATAGCGAAATAAGATGAATTGTAGGTTTTTATGTAAAAATACTGAAGTAAATTCTAATTGGAGACGCTTCCGACGACGATTCTTTAACTATTATACTTTTTAGAGCATTTAAATCGTCAAAATATACAAAAAATAAGAATACCTAATAATAAAAAAAAAAATTTTTAAAAAGCTAAACGTCAGTTTTTAATATCAAAATAACCTTGTTTGTACGAAATTCATAAGATAAACATCATCAAACCCCATGAGCATTTTACATGAATCGTAAAATGCTTTAGTTATTTGCAAAAAAATACGCTGCTCGGGGACCCGCGGGCCATATCACTTGTGGGTCTAAATCGAAAACTAATTGCCACCCGAGGGAGCGATATCACTTTCAAAATATTGGTTTGGAGGAAAACCGTTTAGCAAATCTTTTAGGCAAAGAACACATGTTTCGGCATTGGATTGCCATTCAGAGGGATTGCAAGTTCAGTTCCAGTCGACCGCTGCAAACCCATACCAAAACAAGCATTACATGAAGAGGCTAATCAGAATATTTTCAAAATACAGCGAATACTTTTACGTTTTAAATTACAATTTTTTTTTACTTACGACCAAGAATTACTTTCCTATTTCAACTGAATATAGGAAGAGTTCACGCGTTCACTGACCTTATAAGATGACAATCGAATAGGTAACGTCAGCAACTGTCAGGGCATTCCTACATAGCAGATGCAAAGGTGTATAAAGGTCGTCAATTAAACAATACCAATTTAAGGAAAGGTTAAGTAATGTGATAAAATAAAATCAAGTACAAATAGAACATTTCCGCTCGTGTGGGTGTCGTTAATTTAAATTTTGTTTAAATTCGCACGTATTTTATAAAGTCGCGACAAGGTTGGCTAACTCGTCAACTATTAGTTAAACGAATAAGGTAAATGAAGGTGAACAAATAATTTGGTGTTAGATTACCATCACTTAATTTTCTAAGTGAACTCTACCGTATTTGGAACAATCTACAATTGATTGCTCATGATTCAATTGTAATTGAATGAATTAAACTAACAATAACTAAGAGTTTAAAACACCCACACTAACAATATTTGTATGATTGTATCTTTCAAAGTTTCAATTAACATTGAATTTAAACAAATCACCTTGGACAACCTTCATTTGTTTATTATAATATTAAAAGGTTTGTCGGAATAGATAGCGTTAAAAGGGCCTTTGTGAAAATGGTTTCCCATTCCGGTAACAGCCTATCTTCCGGACGAACAAACTAATTCAACTATTTATTCATGCATATATAAATATACTTACGCTAATCAACTTTATTGACTTAATCATGTTATTAATTGATAATTGCCTTCACTAAAATGGAAGCTACTTAAATATCTAAACATGTTTGTCATAAAACAGTAATTAACGTTTTAACAGTTTTATTGGGGTAATTAACGAGCGCAATAAAATAATAAGCGAAAAATGGTAGCTAATTTTTAACCCTGAAATTAAAGTGAAACATTAAAAGATAGAAAACGAAAATAAAAAAGTTTCATAAATAATTTTCCGGGCAGAAATCCAACAAAAAGGCAGATGAAATCTGTTACAAAATTCAAACTTCAGTCTTAAGATCACCGAGAAGTAAGAAATTCTTAATTAATAAATCAAGCCAAGAGAAACCAATGTTCGCGGAACTATAACTAAGAATGTGTATTTTTCGATTCAAAACCAGTAATAAATCAATCATAAGTACCTACCTAGAAAAGGCTGATATTGTAAATAGACAGTTTTGAGCTCTATGCTGCTTTTAAGGTACTATCTACATGATTTTGTGGTTTTAATTAATGATTTTCATTTATCTAACCGACTTATTCTTTCATAAATAATTAAGTATAAAATAAAAATAAGCTTGCTTATTTTACAACAAACAACCAAATCACTAGTATGATAGATGTACATTATTATTTACGGTAGCAACTCTCCTTTTACAAGATTTCAGCAAAAATGTTGCAGTGAATAACAATGTAAGTAGATCTCAGAGCTTGTAAAAAGCTTATCTTGTTTTACCAGATTCAACGTAGTAAATATGAATTTTAAGACAAAACACAGAGGGGTTATTTTATTTTGAACAAAGTCGCGATTTAACGTTATCAAAGCTTGTAGCCCAAGCCAGCCAAATCAAGTTTCTATACTTATCTCAAATAAGTACTTGTTTTAAGTTTAGACCGATCCAAAACTGGTACCATTCATCAAATTCGAATCGTGCGCAGTGCGACTGGGGCCTGCTGGGTACTTATTAATCAGGTAGGTAGATATCTATACAATAAATGTCTGGTGTCGAAATAAATGCAAATGCAAATACAGTCTCTTTGAAACAAATTGAAAAAAAAAATGTTACTAGTATACATGACCTTCATGATTTTAACTTATAATAAGTACCAATTTAAAGTGGTTATGTAACTAAACCAACTGAAGCACGGATAAACTAAAGTAAACAGCAATTTTCGTGTAGGCACATACACGTGGATGTTGCTATAATTTTATTTTCAAGTCGTGACGTTATTAATATATTAATTGAAAAGTCCACATTATGCTTTTGGCACATTCAGTTCGAAAAATTTTGTATGAAAAATTAAACAGCGCCCCCTAGGGCGGCTATAATATAGGGGGCGCTGTTTAATTTTTCATACAAAATTTTTCGATGACACTTTGAATACGCAACGAAACGAACTCGAAAGTTTTTCCTACTAGAGGTACTAGAGGTACTGTACCTCTAGTACGAAAAACTTTCGAGTTCGTTTCGTTTGCGTACCTATATTATAGCCGCCCTAGGGGGCGCTGTTTAATTTTTCATACAAAATTTTTCGATGACACTTTGAATACGCAAACGAAACGAACTCGAAAGTTTTTCGTACTAGAGGTACTGATCGCAAATTCTCAGCCGTGCAGTGAACGCATTAACGCATAATTATGCACTACAGTTTGCAAAATTTGTATGAGATGGCGCATAACTGTGTAAGCTCGTCTTTGCTCTACGATCTCATAGAAGCTTCGATCAACAATACCAACTGGTTAGATATCGAAAAAAGTGATTAATTACAATAAAAAGAACTCACTTCTAAAGTGCGCTCTTATTTCCCGAGACGTAACTTTTGCGCTTACCCGAATAGGTATCTATGTTTGTAGTTGGTATTGTTGATCGAAGCATACAAGAATCGCACTACCCGCGCATGATACGCATCAATTTAGGTATTAGCCTAGGCGCAGACCACCGACTTTCAGTTGGCCGAGAGTTGGGCCCGATTTTAATTTGTATGAAGAATCGGCCGATACCAAATCGGTGTAATGTGCGCACTTTCATACATCTTCATACTGATTAACAGCCCGACTCAACTATCGGCCAACTAAAAGTCGGTGGTCTGCGCCTGCGTCTGCGGTGGTCTCTAAAGAACTTAATGCACGTGATAAATAAAATCGATTCATAGTGCCGCTACGCCTTCAGATCCTCTTCTTCTCCATGTTGTTTTCTTCCATAATCTCATAAAGAATAGTTGTTTAGGTGGTTTTAGTTTAAAAGTAAAAAGGAAAACCTACTTGTTACAATGTAGGTAAGTAGGCTAACTTTTCAGCATTGACGTTTGGTCATTGTACTAAAATGTTTTGGTTTTACCGTGTTCCACTAAAATTTAAAGGGTAACCACATGAATATTAACTTGTAGGTGCTTAATTGCCTATATAACGAATTTTAATGTTCTGCTCTATGTTGAGTAATGTCGGTACGCACATGTTAATTGTGTACAGAGGCCTTCCACCATACACTGATTTACTGATGCACCATCAAAAATAACAAACGCCAGTCAAAGAAGAACTACTTGTATCACTAACAAAATATACTCACCCATTTAAATGCAGTAGATAACGAGAAACAAATAGGTAATACACATAACAATAGACACACGTCTATTTTATGAATATTTAAGCTTATGTAAAAGCATGGCATGAGACGTTTTCTGTATTTTATATGCGGTTATTCATATAAAATGACACTCGTAAAATCTTTATCACAAAGATAGAGATCCTCTCAGAGAGTTCCACTTCCAAAAGATAACATTAGGTACCGCGGTAGGCTCTCATGATACTTAAAAACGATTAATTAATTAAAAACCACTGATGACGTAATAAATTTAACCACAGATGACGTGAATGCGATAAAGATTTAAGAGAGAGACGTATTTCCGATGCTAAACAGTTTCAAAAATATTTTAGAACTTTAACTACCTCTTATACACAATTAATATAAATATAAATATTATGCAATATTCTATTGTATGTAATAATTGATACTTAGCCGCGTCATATAATCTTCTCAGTTATGATAAAACGCAACTACTTACATGCTTTTATATGCTATAACATGGATAATAGACATGTTACTCAATAGATATTCAAATCAATATCACCTACACCAATTACGTAGCATCAACAAGATTTTCTACATTTTATTAGTTGTAAGTACATTTAATGTGATAATTATGTAGTTACAATGTTATTCTTGATCACATTACATCAATGTTTTCCCGGGAAGATTGACTTTTGATTTGATTTCAAATAGTCAAACTTTTCATTCCAATTCAGTTATATTTAAATTAGTGTAGGTAAAAGAGCTGAACATGAAATTATTTATGTACTTAAATTAGTTCTTTTTTCAGAACTTGATAATAAGTGGAATATCCCTTAAAAAATATCAGACTGCTGCTGCGTGTAGTAAATCGGCAAACTTTTAAAACTTGTTCATTTAGTAAAGTGTAAAGTTTTCCTCTAATTGAAAAGTAACAAACACTATTTCTGCGAATTATTCTTTTTATTCCAGGTGTAGTCTTTTTTTGCGGTGGAGCCGCGGTCAGCAAAGGATCATAATCCTGACAAATAAAATTCAACGAAATACAGTTTTTAATTCGAATCGAGGAAAATTGCTACGATTGCTACGAGTAAGTGAGTATCAAAACTACAACAATGCACCTGAACTTTCTATAGTATTTAAACCAATACGTGGTGGACGTGTAAAAATGCTGTTTGGGAGCCTATTTGCATAAATAAAAGATTTGATTTTTGTATTTTTTGTCACACAATGATCTTGCTTTATCTAAAACTGATATATGCGGTAAAACACAGCCCGCGCTGAGTAGTGCAAACTGGAACAATAACATTATCTACAATAAAATTAGCCGTGAAAAACTATAACATTATTGTTATTTATTAGAGAATGATTGATCTTATTGTTTTGTTACAGAGAACATAGACAATACTTGACATGGATGGAAGACATGGCTTCTACCTTAGCTTCTACCAAATAAGCAGATGGATGGATAGGTAAAGCCAGAATATTCACACTGGTCACATTTTTTTGTAATTGTACAATAATTTTAAATGATAAAGTGAGATACGTCTCTATTGTAATGAAAGGTATTAATTACCGGTATACAATGACCGGTTTTCCGATAAGATTGTTTTGTGATTTCTAATAACTACGTACTACTATACTCGTACACTCTATCTCTCGCTCAATCAGCAGCACATAGAGAGACTACATTTTTGTTTCAAAATGCATCCATTATTTAACTTGATGTGTCGTCCTTCGTATATTAAATTGCTAGAAAACACTAACGTCTTAGAAAAAATATTTAGTGAAGTTAATTAATGCCTGTTTTCACCATCAATCCCTAATTTTTAAGTGACCCCTATGCGAACAAAATTCCTGTTATGTGTTACAATAGGGGTCACTTAAAAATTAGGGATTGATGGTGAAAATAGGCATAAGTATACTAAATATTTTAGCCATGGGTAGCTAATTATTGGCTAACAATTCTTTCATATAGATCGATAACATTTTAATCAATACCGATTAATTGCTATTTAATATAAGCTTAACTGTATATTTTAATAATTTGCAAAATGTTTCCGTTAAAATGGAATTTTTATTAGAGACGTAACGTGACTTCTGATCCTCTTCACCAAAACTGGTTCCTAAAGCTACTACAAACAAATCGGTACAAAACAGGGTCCTCCTTCGATGTACCGGATTCCAAGCTTCACTTTTGTTTTTATTTACAAGGACGCATTTATGTTTAAAGCCATAGGCAACTTTTTACATGAAAATTCACTAAAATGGACTGCGACGGATTGTATATTTTCAAGGTAGAAGACAAATTGTGAGAAAATATTATGAATGACAAGGCTGTTGTTCACGCATAGCCAGGCTTGCGATTCCAATGCAACTAAAGTGGCGACTAGTTTTCTGAAGTTTCCTAGGAACACTAAATATTTTTGCCTTATTTATCTGAATCGATGAAACTACTAAATACCTACTGGTTCATTAAAATGCTTAACTGGTAATATTAAAGTGTGCCTCTTAGACATTGATTTTAGCGTATCAGCTATTGTCATGCACAGTTTACGACGTACGTCCATTCACCGGAACGGATACTATTATTGACACTTGTCTTAAGAAAATTTTAAAACTTTATAAACTAAAATAGAAACATACTTTTTGCTCGTTTCCCCCTGTCCGGCAAAAGGGGGAGGCTGTTGGGTTTCTGCAGGAGCTCCTGCAGCTCCGGCTGGGGGGTGAGCTCATCGTTCCTGGACTTCATGGTTAGTGTCTGCACTGTCACAGGATTTATTTCATAACTTTAGGGGGTCACACTCGCGGGTCGGTGCACGCGGGGTATTCGGGAGCGGGTCCGCGGTAGGTGCATGGCTGACTGGCGCGGGGTTGGGGCGGGTCGTGCTTATATCGGCCTGGTCGCTCCGGTGACGCGAGGATGCCAGCGGAGCCGCGCCGCGACTGAGCCAGCCTGCGGCCGCCGGCGGTCAAGGGTACCACCTCGTAAATCTGACCGTTCAACGGATTACGCCTTTACATTTCAAACGTAATACTTAATAGGCGTATTGTGTTCTAATCAAGGCCCCGTGGAAATAGTTCACGTGAAATTTCATCGATCTGCATTTAATTGCACAGACAAACTTGAAACAATACAGCCTTTGCTTTGTTAGAAGAAAAAAGTGATTAAAAAACACCCTTGAGGAGAGACTGTGAAACATTGAAAAATAATATATAATTGAACTTTACTTTCCTTCTGTTAAGACACGACGTCCGAGACAATATAACTAACGTACAGTAATCGACCTTTAAATCATGTGAAAGTGACTATTTATTCATACTGTTAATGCCAAGATTTGACGTCACATACCTAGGTAACTTCCCTAAAATATTGCAGTAGTTTCTTATCGTTCATTGATTTTGAACATAAAGAAAACCCTTTGATTAAAGAGAAATCAACGAGGAAAGCAGAGCAAACAGACATTAAGTAATGTTGTAACATGTACTTATAAGTTAAAGATAGTAAAGATTCAAGATTCATACTTGTGTGATAGAGTCATCGGAAACTTATGATTGTTTTTAAAAAAAATAAAAATATTCCAAGAATTGTATAAATTATTCGATGTACATACGTATTTTGGGTTCTGATGAAAAATCATATTATACAATAAAATTATTTCCTATTATCGTATTCCAGTCCGGGGATTTTTGTGTTAGTCACATTTACATAATTATGTACTTTGTCAACTAGGTATCCGTGTCACATACTTATATTCATAGGTTTTCCTGTATAAACCTTTCTATTATTTTATCTCTAGCATATTCAAATCAGTGGGTAGGTGTATGAGGAAGTGTTTGTGAAAACCTGATTTAAGTACATTGACAAATAATTTCTTTAGACCAATAGTTATTTATGCATGGATGTGTGTAGATTCTCAATAAAAGGTATAATAGTAAAGATTCATACTTGTGTCATTTTGTCGTTTTATCGAGGGTCATCCTTCAAATAGCTTGCAGATTTTATTCAGTTACTAAGGTTATGTTTCAAAATTTGCATTAAAAGTGGATTAACTTAAATAACACAACTACTTACTAAGATTGAGAATTTAAAAAAACAACATTAAGTATTACCACCTCATAATGCGTTTAAAATTATTAAAATATAGATACTCGTACTACTATAATTTGACACCTAAAATATTTTTCTTATGTACGAATATCGCAACTGTATAGACTTTCTTGTGCATGAAAATTTCAAGAAAAGTCTACCTACAGCATTAAGCTATGTATTAAATACATACATATTGCCAAGGTTAGGTACTGTACTTTGCGCACTTATTTCCGGTGGAGTCTTAAGTGAAAACATTATTGAAAGCATAACAAAAGTAATAAAAAACAATAATGATTGTATTTCAGGAAAAACATTTCAGCTGAAGGGATTCCAATTCTATTTCTACCTACTTCTGGGCCCATTCGGGCTTTACACATACCTACTTTCAAGACATATTAACTCATATTCTACATCTAAATGAAAAATATCCTTATTTTCCACGTTTACGACGATAACTACGACATGCAACTTGTTTAGATACACACAACAATTCTACCTGGAATCTAAACCACGTGGCCATATTGCCAAACGACACTGAAACCTACGACCATAACTTTAAGGTAAAATCGATATAAGACTGTACCGATTCACTTGATTGATCGATTAATACCAGGTGTATAACATATAATTAAAGCACATTTATAATGGATCCAGTCGTATAAATAAATGTCAACTCTATATTTTCTAAGTTCTGCAAAACCTGTTTATAATGACCGGTCAACTTCTAGGATCGTCATCTCCACACATACATATTTGAATAAATATTTAATATGCAAAATGTCCAGTATTATTTGTGGATGTTAAACAATTCGTAAATACATAGGCATGAGTGTGTACATTTATGTAAGTAAATAATTACTCCAAAAACATACCCTCCTTCTGGCATAGTCGGGTTAAGAATGATTTACTCTTATGTAATCTGTGATAAACTTGTAACAATAATGTAACATCTTACAAAAGAGACACCTGTCTTGGGTTTTTTTACGTCTAAAAATCAAGTACAAAATTATTTAAATATGAATAGGTACATTATTTTAAAAAGTTCAAAAAGTCGATTTGCTAATTGTGCACACTAGAATAAAATTTTAATCAAAAATATCTTTGTTTATAAACTAATTTAATGTTTGATTAAGTATGTAACATTTTCGTACCTACCTATTGGATACATTAAAAAGATCAGAATCTTAATGTTTAATAAAAAGAATTAATGAATCAAATAAATTTGAAAAATATATTTTATATCCTTGTAACTGTTTATTTACTTAAGTGCACCATCAACATTACAAACTCAAATATTGAGTGTAGTACGAGAAATAACTGTTAATTAATTTTTGCCTTTATCACATCTATTATACGACTTATATTTACTAGTCACAGAATTTACTACCGCGTTGTAGAAAAGGTAAAAGGTACGGCAAAGCTAAGGTCCCAGTGCCGGAAATATGACCCTAAACTTGACCAAGCTTAAATTTTGATTAAATTTTAATAATGCTAATTCATTATAATGCTGTTGAATTAACACATATTAGTATGCTCTTTGCTTAAAAGCTTTTGCTTATACTAAACTTATTCAAAAACCAACTAAAGGAATAACCTACTTAAAAACTTGTATTTACAATGGCGAGTAGATAACCACCAGTAGAGTATTACCAAGCTAAAATTGATTAAATATTTATATACTCAGGTGTTACACTAAATAAATAAGGAACTACTTATTTAAAAACTTTCCATAATTCTCTAAGGCTCTACTCTCTAGGCAGGTATTGGGTATGATACCTGTGTTCGTTCATTACACTAACATTTAGTTCTACTTCTGTCTTAAAGGATTCGAATGCACAATGCCGTTGTACTAATACTTAATAATCAAAGTGTAACATGCACTACGAACAATGTTTTGTTATAGTAATCGATATTTGTACTAACGCTTACATTATACCGAAGTATTATTCTTTGATAATACAATGAAGAGTGATTTAAGTAGGTATTACGAGTATGTAACCTACTTATAAAATAATTTGTCATACCATGGTATAGGTATGACAAATTATTTTAATCAATATATTTATGTTCATTCATGCCCGAAGAGGCGAATCATGACTGTACCTAAGAATATTTTGTATGACTGTGACATCCTGTAGTAACCCATGTTTTATGAATGAATAAATAATTAAGTCAATTAATAGACCTAAACGTTAATCAAAAACACAATTTTCAATGTACCTACCTATTTAACAATGTTACGTCACAGATAATATAATACTAGGTTACGTTATACGTAAATGTAATATAGCAATATTTATTTCACTTGCCCATTAATTAAATGTTGATTCCTAGTTTGATAGCTGGATCCCACCCAATTAATCATTTCCATTTTTAAATTACTGACCGTAAGTAAAGTATTTTTTACTTTAGTAAAGTAAACTCAGAGTAAACAAACTTTAACCAAGGTGTGAATATTTTTTGTCAAAACACGATTTATCCTTAACTTATTTAAGTTAAAGGAATAAGTAATTGAATAAAGTACCTACCTAATTCTAAGTGGAAACGTGAAAATAAACTTGATTGTCAAGGTCTTACTCAGAAGTAAGTACCTAACGCTCGTATTCACTATGCTTGCTTAAGTGAAGCAGCAAATCGAACTCACGGCGTTGAATAAAGCTCTGTGATTGGTTCGTGTGTCACTCTGTGCGTCCACGCGCACTGTGAGACCTCATAATAATGTTTGTGAATACGGGCGTAAATGACTTCATGTGATGTTAGTAGTCACCTACCTAAACCTGGCGACAAAAACAGAATTTATTTATTTATTTAATGGAAAAGGACCATCGTTCAAAACATCAAACCGCAACATGGCTTAGATTAACCAAATAAATAAGTAGTTACTTAAGTATTATTCATATTGATACTATAAACACATGCATCATCAAAACTACCTATGTAAAATAGACAGGAATCTGTCTTTCAAATTGTAACTTTAGGAGAAAATATGAAAATGTTTTACTTTTGGTTTTGAATTACATAACGATGCATTGCCCGCATTAAAAAAAATAGATGTCTATAAAAATTTCTGCCATCTTCCTTTTACTGAAGGTTCATGAGATTCAGCCGCTGCCAGCAGGCGACATTCGGAGAAAAGTGGCAGACTAGTATTATATTATCTGTGGTGGCAGCTTAATAAAGTTGACACCTAAGGCAACCGTCCGCGTCGTGGCGATAACTGCAAACCAGTTTTGCAAGTTCTGCAAAACTTTCTGTAGATTTGTATTTTATTTAAAAAAAAATTAAAATAAAATAAAAATCTACAGAAAGTTTTTCGTTAATGAAGAAAAACTATCCAGTAGGTCCAATATGTAGCCTACATGAATTAAAGCCAAAATAACTGAACAACAATATTATGCCTATGATTAATTCTTGCCTCCTACAAACAACCTACGCTCTATTGCCCTCTGGCCGGCTACATAAATATCTAGTTTACTTATTTACTAGCAACATAATTATTATTATAACCACAGAATACATAATAGTAGCAACAGAAATTGCACTCCTTTGTGTAGGATCAGATGCCGACATTTTAACGGTAATAATAATAATGCAAAATTTCCAACGAACCTGGTGCATTCGAAATCGCACCCTACTACTACGCTCACAAGAGCGCAATTTTTTTTGTGATCAGAATTGATCTACGTCACAGCTCAAGCGTCAGGGTTGTTTAAACAAAGTAAAATAAATAAAATAAATAAAATTAAAAACTTAATTTTAAGAAGCATTTATTGTTTTTACGATTGGTAAACGTTAATCTAGTGGTGTTTGTATTTCGTACCATCTCCAAAGTACCTATTAATAAACTTGAGTGTTGCGATTATTCG